ATATTAAATTGTGAGCACATCTTATATTTTTTGTTAGATATTTATAAGTTTTCTAGAAGTCAAAACCTGTTATCTCTCTACCACTGTAGTGTGTATGTTCCCATTTGTAGATGACAATTACTGACTGCATTTCACTGGAGGATATAGTCTGCAGTCTATATTTATAAATTCCTACTTTTGCATGTATAAATGTATAGTTACATAAAATCTGTTATCATCTGATTACTTAGAGAAGCAAAAGATGTATATGACTAATTCATATGTCAATATATCTTTAAATATAATATTTTTAGAATGAAAAGATCCTTTAAAAGAAATATTTTATTATCTTGGAACTAGTCCAGAATTTGAAGGCTTTTCCACGTTCAAACCAGACTAAGTTGTTCTTTCTACTGAACATGTTTTAAATTAAGCCTTAACTTAATCTGAAGAAGCTTTGATATAGCCGTACAAATGCAATGCTTTGGATTTACCTGCTTTATATTTAAAAAAAAAAAAAAGCTTGGAGAGAAGAAAATTATATTACAATTTTACAATGAAAAATGATGTGGATTAACTGTACTTTTTTGGTGAAAATATCATTTACGTAAATGTGTTTATTCTAGACAGCATAATGACTAAACTTATCTTTAGTTTGGTAGCTCCCAAGTGTCACACATTAAGGATTTCCTTTTATTTTTTTTGTGTGTGTGTGTGTAGGGGGGAGGCTCTTAATATAGCACTATTCCTTTGAATACTGAAAATGGCTTCACAGCTCGCTTTTCAGGCTAAAGTTCTCTGCATTTTTTTTTAAAAAAATGCAGTACCAAGAATAAATATTCATTGGTTCCTCAAGGGAGCTGCTTGCTCCTAAATTTCCAGCGGAAGCGGCAGTTCGGTCTGTGGCGCAGCAATCCCAAGGGCTGTTCAGTGCTTTGAGGTGCTCGATACATCTGAACTAGGCTCCTTGGCTATGCAGAATACAGCCCAGAATGTGGTGTGTTTGTACACCTGGAGTCAAATGTATTCCATGTTTGCTAGAAGCCTGATGCATCCTGTGAGCCAGACCGGCCCTTCAGCTGGATTTCTCCACTGTTTGTGCTTTCTCTTACTAATGTGCTTCTAAATTACTACAGTTACTTTATGGCCTGGGTTCTTTTCCTCTAATTTCTAGTTTAAGCAAGTACTTCTGTGCTTCACAAGGCAGACAGCCCTGACACATGACAGAATTCAAGTTGACTCAACTGCTAGAAAGAGTTTAAACTGCCTTAAGTTCAATTCTCAGATTAAAATAAATGCCTATTATAAACTCCTTCTCATGCATTATGTAAGCAATATTTCAGAAAATTGCTTTCTTTAAACCGTTAGCAAGAGATCATTGTGCAAAACTCACCAGTGTCTCCCTTTTGGGGAGTGGAGCTTTGTGGTTGCTGGTGCAGGATTCAGACTTGGGTTGACTGCTGTAAACTCACCTGTCTCTTCACTACTCAATAACCATGTACTTGTTTTGCTACAGGATGGGCAAGAAGGGTCATTTGAAAAATGGAGAGTGGAAAACTCCTGGGGCGAAGACCGTGGTAATAAAGGTAAAGTAATCTCTAGCCACAGGAGATACTGTTGAGCTTAGTGTTTGGAAATGGGGAGCTGGAGGGGAAAAAGGACATGCTGTGAATGTGTCTTTCACTAGAAACACGCCTGAAATGAGCCTGCAAACAGCATGCAGATCACTGAGATGTGCACTTTGTTTTTGGAAGACAAAGATTCAAGCTTAGCTCTGTTTACTAGAGTTGTTTCATGCTGCACCTCATGCTGACTGTGGCTGATATTACTTAAACAGTTTTCCTGAGTCATATGTGAAAGCCAAATGTGTCTTAGGTTTTCTTTTAAAGCGCTGTTTGTCAATCACTGCACTTTCTGCCTATGGAAACAAGGCTGTGCAGGGTAAGGCTGGTTCCAGCCAGCGCTGTGAGCAGCTGCAGTGTCAAACTGCTCTAGCTCCAGCACCTCTCAATCTATAAAAATCTCCTTTCCATCGCTGTGCCAGAAGCCTGACCTGCGGCTTGCTTGGAGTGTTTGTCTGGTATGGCAAGCACTAGCAACAAGATCTGCACTTCAGATAAAGTTCAGCTCAGAGCCAGGTTTCCCTGCTTTTCCGCTGAGCGTGGTCTCGGCCCGGGCTTGCTCTTCCCTTAAGCTGGTCTCTAAACTCCAGCGGGCTGCAGAGGCAGCCTGGCATGGCCCGGGGAGAGGCGGCACGGGCAGAACGGTGAGTCCCAGCTGGGAGGTGGTTTAGCAGGTTGCTTCAAGCCTGGCCTTGGTCTGCAGCATCGTCCGTTTTGAGTTTGCTGTAGGTGTTCACAGGAAAGCAATCCAATAATCATCTTTAGATGAAATAGATATTGAAACTGTGCGGGTACTGAACTTCAGGACTTATCAATGTGACAATACTAAAATATAATTTGGAGTGTTACTAAAGAAGTGACATCAAAACTTTGTCTCCACGTACAAACTAACTATTTTGCAGACGTTAACCACCTTTATGTATTTTTGGAGAATAAAAAAAAAATGCATGGCTAGTGTCGTAATGCCAGAAGGCTTCCTTTGGAGACACTGCAGATCCTTGGTTTGCAGAGCTAGCTGCTCCCAGTGTGAGAGGAATGTTTCCAGGAAGGAGCTGCCTTACAGCTGCTCAGCATGGGCTTGGTTTGGTCCTCAAAACATAGGTGTCAGTCAGCAACTCTTGCACTTTGCTTGTTGCATATACTCCTTTGGTTAAGGTTCAGAGTTGTCCTTGATTGGAACTTAGAATAAAACACAGGGCTTAACGTGAGGATATTGGCCGTTACTTCCCAACCATGATGCAGTAAGTAAACCCTGAAGCTCTCTGGGCAGAAGTTGCTGCTGTTAACTGAGATCAGAACAGAGGCAGTTGTATGCATGTTACTGAGTAATAGTTGTTACTCCTAAGCTCAGGCTACTTGCTTTGCAGTTAGTTTACGTGGCCCAAGGGTTGTCTTTTTTCCCAAGTGTGCATTTACTTCTCAGGACTGAATTCTTCCAGAGCAGTGGGAGCTCACTGCTCCTTTAGAACAGAATAGGGCTCCAGAGTGGCTTGACTAGAGCCTGTTCACAGAGTGTGCGTGTACTGCACATACCACCCACATGAACTTTCTTGGTGAGTCACTGCCATTCATCTGTTTTGTGGTGGTGGACACCACTGTCCCCGGAAATGGTTGCTCACTGTCTATATTTTCTTTTGGTTAGAGATGTCTGGAAAAATGCCGTGATTGAAAATCCCATGAGAACTAGGGAGCTTGACTTCTATTTGAGGCTATTTTTTCTTTACCAGGGAGGTGAATCCTTGAATAACTTTCTTGGGTATGCAGCCAGCTTACTGCTTAGCTCAGGGCAGTTGGACAGATCTTTGGAGCTCGTTCCTAAGTGCTAAAAGAGGCAGCTTGACCGGAGCAATAGGATGATGGTTACGCCGTAGCCCTGGATAGCCAGGGCGAGCGAGGGTTTGCAGGCTGGCCCAGCTCCCTTGCTGTACCACTGAGTCAGCCTGGCAGGGAACTTCATCTTATCTGCTTGTTAAGGGATTGGGAAGCTGTGTTTGGATAAGTCCAGCACAGGAAACTAGTATCACAGCAGTAACGTGGCCAAGAATGATGTTAAACTTGGCATCTCCCAGCTGAGGCCCGGCTGGGCGTGGGGGACACAAGCCCCAGCTCCGCTGTTCCTCGGGCAGTGTGGCGAAGGGCCTGCCACAGAGTACCCAAAACCAGGGCTTTTGAGTCCCAGAAAGCTTAGAGGTGGTTGGGAATGGGAATGCTCTTGTATGAGTCCCTCCGGCATCGCTGAGAGGTGCCACAGGAGCAGGGGCAGCCTCGCTCTGGCCTGGGTGTCATGGGAGGACGTTATTTGTACCCCTGCGTTCCTCCCAGCAGGCAGGACCCAATTCCTATGGCAGTGCTTGCCCCAGGGAAAGGGAAGCCCTGAGAACAGCTAGCATTGGCGTTCCTAAATATTTGGTAATTACAGGGATATCTGTTGTAAAACTGCTTCTTGGAATCCAGTCTGTTTTTTTTTGCAAGGAATGAACACAGCTGCTGACAAACATTGCCTTTTGAAGTAAAAAAACAAAAATAAAAATCGCTTCCCAGTAAAAAAGTTTTCCATTATGTGTTTTACTGGCACACTGTCCAGCATCCCAGCAAGTTTAATTATTCTGCTTACACTCAGTTCTGGAGGCACAATGCAACAAGTTAACTTTGAATCCAAATATCAGATATTTTTCTTGAATATCTATCTCTCTTTTTCTTCTGGCATGAAGAGAAGTTTCTTACAGTGCATCTCCAGCTAGAAGTTGGCTCCCTTTGACTTTCCTCTCTACTTTTTTTGCCTTATATGTATTTATTCTTTGTATGCCTTAAGACATTAAGGGTTGAAGTGTAGCCATTAGTGTCTGTCTGATGCCAGGATCATATTCTGAAGGCTCTGTTACCTTCTGGCCTTGGGGAGGTGAAGGTGGCATCAGCAGGTGGCCGCAGCTCGTAGCCATCCTGCCTGCCTGACCTCTCGCCAGCCACATGCAGTGTTGGCAGTGTTGAAATGTTTCATTCTCAGATAGAAAACAGTGGACGAGCCTCCTGCCTCCAAGGACGTGTAGACAAGGGGTGTGTTAGATAGACAACCCCCTTCCAAGCTTTCCTCCGTGATATTGTATGTTACCATAGGAATGGGTTGAGGAGAAGCAATAGATTCATGGCCTGAGGTAGGGCTCCATGCCTGTGCCTGTCTGAAAATGCAGCAAACTTTTCCTTTCCTCTTCCTTCCGTTGCCCGGATGGACTGTGGAGCTCGGGGTTGCCTCAGGCGGGCTCCTAGGTGTATATGTTGCTGCCTATAACGTGTGTGCATCCTTTTAAAGAATAATTGGTAAATGGCTTTCATTGTGCCACAGGGCACAGGCCTCCTCGGAGAGCACCGGCCTTATTTGCATGTTCTGAGGCTTTGCTTGGCGTTTCCTCCTTGTTCAGACAGCGCGATCCTAATCGGCACCGTCAGGCTCCGAGATACAGGATGTCGGAGGCTGAGTTCATTATCCTCTCAGGGTGCAATTACTTGTTGGCTCTTGGGAGTGAGAGGTTTTTGTGTCCCACAGAACTCATATCCTGAGGAGAGAATAATCAAGGCAGCTCCCTCTGGCAGTGCTTCCAAAATGGCCTCTGCTCGGGTTACGATTGATAGGGTTTTTAATTTATGGGAATCCAATCTGATCTCTTGCTTTAGAAACAAGATGGTGTAGATAGATGCATTTATTGTCCATATTCTTAGGACGTTTTCTTGTTTCATTTGATTGTGTGATGATACTGTATAAGGACAGGAGGAACTTTATTACATAAAGCTTTCTCATCTGTCTTCTAAATGTGCTCTCTCCCTGGCATGCTATAATTTTGGTTCACCTTGAATAGCTTGTTTCCAGTGGTAGTTGTGTTCTCAAGGCTGAGACACTTCAAGTAACTCTTTTTTCCTGGTTCAAAGGCAGTCCACTAAAATCCAGGAGGAACAATATTAAGGGAGAAAATAAAGATGTAGTTCAGCTGCAGTGTGATTTAGCTGCCTTGTATTTCAGGAAAGCAGACAACTGCCGCCTTTTACTACAGGAACTGAAGCAGCAAAGTTTGAGGCTTGTTATACCGAAGATGATAGGGATATTTATCAGGAAAACTTCTTTAATCAAAATCCTGAAAGCTTGTGAAGTTGGGCACACAGATAGCTTTACCTTCTGACTTAAATATTATTTTCTAAAGGCTTGTGAATTCACTTGAGTATTCCAGATGCCTGTCTTAACAGATGAAACATAAATGATGAATATTCTGGGCCTAACAGGCCTCTTGCTTGGCCTGATCGTGCACACAAAGTTCTTCAGTATCGGCTTAGCCTGTGCATTAAGTTCTTGAGGATACTGGTTTTTAATCTGTTGTAACGACCTGTTTTTGTCTCCAGGTTACCTCATCATGACAGATGACTGGTTTTCTGAGTACGTGTATGAGGTGGTGGTGGATAAGAAGCATGTGCCAGAAGATATCTTGGCCGTGATGCAGCAGGAGCCCATCGTTCTGCCGGCCTGGGACCCTATGGGGGCATTAGCCAAGTGAACTGCAGTGTTGGCCTCCTAATGATCAACCAGAAGTAGATGCAATAGAGGATCCCAGTGGTTGGAAGCCATAGCCAAATGTTCATGTGACCACGTGCTCGGCATGGTCCATATTCTTGAAATATAAGTTAAGGATCTTTGGAAAATAGCGCTTTACTGACTGGCTCAATAAAGGCTCTCAGGCAGGCTACTCTGCAAAACTAAAAAGGGACAAAGGAAAAACTCATCATGAAAAAGCATTATAAGTGCTTTCAATGGCCGTTTGATTTTTATCTTACTCTTTTAATGAAAAAAAAGCATAGTAACTTAGAATCCTTTTGACTAGTATTTTCCCTAGAAAAGATGGCCATAACAGGCCATTCTTTAAAGTTAACAGCTAGCTGGTTGTTAATGAAATACATCAAGATACTTATAAATTAATCATCCATGGTCTCTTATAGCATAAAAGAATATCCAAAACATTTTATACTTTTATGTTTTAGTTTTGCTGCCAAGAGAAGAAATTTTGGAAGGAGATAGAGTAGAAACTGCTCCATTCCTTTAAAATAGCATTTAGAAAATTCTCTTCCAGCAGGAAACATCTTCCTGAAGGCGGTTTCCAGTTTAGCTTGTTTCTAACCTTCCATTATTGAGCTAGGACTGGATAACTGTATCAAGACCCAGTGTTATGTCTGTGTGCTCAGGAGCGCTATTTTTCAGTTAGATTAGCAAGAACAACCATACACATGTTCACAGGTGGAGTTAGTGTCATGCTCAACAAGAAAAAGTTTTAATTGCTGCATTTTATTTGGATGTTTTCAAAAACAAGATGGTGCTATGAAGCTTTTAAATAAACACTTTCTTAAGTGATTGGGTAAACTCTATTTATTTTCTATTTAATGAGCCAAACATAATTACTGAATTGTAAGGATGTAAGTGACTTGCAACAAACCTAAGTGAGGCAGGACATGGGTAGAGCAGGAAGACCTGCTGTTTTATGTTCTCAGTAGTAGTCACAAATGCACTTGTCTCCTGAACAACGATAAACATGCTGTATTTCAAGCACTACAGGCACTCAAATAACTTTGGTGATGAGTACAGTACCAATCCATTGATTTAAATTGTGCCAAATGTCAAGACATTGTGTACCATAATGGCTTTTCTGTTCTGCAGTTAGTCACAGGCAAATAACAGAGAAAGTGAAGACGAAAAACCACACTTAAATAATCTGCCAGCTACTCTGGCTAGTAGGTAAATATTGCTAAAGTCAAGTGGGAGCCAAAACAAGGATGCTTGGTGTGCTGTAGTACCCTGCAACTTGGTTTGACTTTTCTTCCTTTTGCACTTAAAGGGAGAAAGTTGTTATATTTTGATTCTTCCTGCTGGTTTTGTTCATTTTTACACACCACAAACACTTTTTTTTTTTTGAATTCAAAGGTTCTAGGCTGGGCTTGAAAGGCATGTAGTACTGTATCCAGCAGGAAGTTGCTAAATATCATTCCCTTAGATACTAATTTGTATTTACCTCATTGTTGTGACACATATACTTTAGCTTGGCATTTTTTATATGAGTGGACATGTTGCCTACTGAACTAGATTCAGATTTGGGCTTGGCCAGGAAACATCCCCGCTGACTCAATGTGCTATGATTAATATTCCTTGCAGAGGGCAGGAGTGGTAGCTAGAGGAGGGAACCAATGCAGTGTGCCACAGCTGCAGGGCTGCTTCTCTCCCCAGATTAGGTGCTTTGAGAGTCTTCACAGCTCAAGAAGGATGTGGACCAAGAGGAATGCAGAGAAAAGTGGTAAGAATGGTCAGAGGTTTAAACCAAGCTGCTAAAAGGCTGGAGGAGCTGTGGTGTTGAGAGAAATGGGGAAACATCTGCCGTTAATACATAAGTTGATACTTCAAAGAAAGGAGTTGTTTGTTCCCACTGCTCATGATAAATAGGTCAAGAAGTCATGAGCTTCAACTGCAGCAAGATTCAGTGAGATTAGGAAAACCTTCTAGTGATAAAAATAGTGCAGCGATAAAAATAGTGAAGCTTGGGAATAAAGCGCCTGAGGAAGTGTGAAGTCTCTGTTGTTGGTGATCTTCAGGAAAGGTTACGAAAAACATGTCAGAAATGGTGTTGCTGGCTGTCCCTTGCTGGGGGCAAGGGGCTGCAGCAGATGATCTGCTCAGGGCCCTTCTGCCCTTACGGTTCTGCAACGCGCGATCCTGCCTCGTGCTGTGACTTGCATCGAGGCAAGTAAACAGCCTTGTACTTGAGACTGAATCCTGGTGGCTCTGAAACAAAGCCAATCCCTTGGGTAGCTGTATTATGCACAATATTTTGGTTATGACTAATGCATGTGTGTATTTTTTTTTTTGAGGCTTTTTTTCTGCCAAAAGGTCAGTATTTTAGTCTTCCAAAATCTTTCTGCTTGTGGCACATACCAGTTCTTTTCTTTGCGCTATCTGGTGGAGGGTTAGCGCAGTCAAAGAGAGTTAACTTTTTCCCAGGAGTTAAAGTGATAAATGTTTTTCTTGTACGTGCCAGCTCTGCTGATGATTGAATTTGACAAATTAAAAACTGTTTCTAAGCCAATTTTTGTTAATTTTAATAAGTATTGTCCACTGTGGCTTATCTCTCCAGTTCTTGCCCAGTACTTCTCAGTGCAGCTTATACAATGGTATGTTTTTCTTTCCTTTAAAGGAGGAAAAAAAAAAAAAAGGGCACAAAATCTTGCATGCTAGAACATGCTGAAGGAAATGAAGCCATTCTGGCAGCAGCAGTTTTGCATTTACGCCCAGCAATTTTTTAAAATCCTTCTCTAGGAAGGAGCAGGCAGAAGGAGGGGAAATGCATATGTCAAAGGGAGGGCTGGACTTTTGCTTTGAGAACTGCAGGGCAGTTGGACAAACAGTCCCGAGGTTCATGTCATGGCTTTTTCTGTAATTCAAGGCTGGCAGAATATTTTCCGGGATATTTTGTGTTCTGCTGCCTGGACGGTAACGGTCTGTGATGGCCAGTCCTGGGCCTTTCTGTCAGAGCGGAGTTGATAGCCGCGTGCTCTTCCTACCTTTCTCTGTTAGTCATGATTAGTTTTAAAAACTCTTCCAAGAAATCGAATGCTAAGAATCTGAAACTCAACTTTCTTGTTCGTGGAACTATTTCTTCATGTGTCCTTAATTTGGCTAATGGAAAAAGATGAGGGAAAGATGACGAAAAAGCTGTCCCATAGCTCCCGGAGCAGGGAAGGCACAAGGGTTTACTGGCCCCCGCCACCCTACCTTTGCTGGGGATGAGGCCCCGAGCACGGCCCAGGTTGGGGCCGGCCTGAGCCCGCGGCCCTGGCCCGCCGGGACCTCCGGGGATGAGAACTGGTTCATGGTGAAAACTAAACTCCCATTCCAGAAGGGAAATAACGTGCGATAAGCCTGGTTTGCTAAAGCCAAGCATAGGAAGCTCTATGCCTGATGGGCCACTTTGCAAAAAGAATGAAAACGCAACCGGTAATGAGGCGCTTCGGTTAGAACGAAAGGCAAACCCCAACCAATCCTCCCCTCCCTGTTTCAGTGCCGTTTCCTTAGCTCGTGTCCTTCTGCATGATCATAAAAAGACCTTGGGATTGCTGTGGAGCCAGCGAGCCCACAGAGAGCTCCCTTTTCCAGTTTGTGTCAATAAAGGCATCGCATTTTCATGCAGTAATCCAAAGAGTTTCTCTGGCAGCTGTAAGATATTGACAGATCATGCTGTAAAGGTCAACTGCCTGAGCTCAGCCTGAAGTTTGAGAATAATAAATGCTGCTAATCAAGGAAAGGAAGAGGCAGGAGGAGAGGTTACATCTGGTGGCAGTTTGGGAGTGATCATGCTCCCATTTCTCCCTCAGAACATTTCCCCTAAACGGCTCCAGTGGAAACAACACAACCCCATCGCGCTCAGATGTGTGTCCCAGCACAGCCAGCTAAGGAAACAGCAGGGCAGGACAAACACAAATTCTCTCTCTTTTATCCCAAAGCCAACCTCCATAGTTAATACGGGTAGTCTATTCACAACAAAGCAAAAGATGGGGACTAATGAGCACACTGGTATTTGTCTTGTTTTGTACTATTTGCAAGATTCTTCCTCTCCTTTGGCAGTGAAGCAGAGGTGCTCGCGTTACCTCATGGCGAGAGCTGGTGCTTCTGCAAGGGAGGGAAGTGCTCAAGCTACATCTCTAACAAGCAGCCGTGTCAAGTCCATTTTCTTCCTTTTCTTTTTCTGCATTTCCCCTAAAAGCAACAGGATTTGGCCCACTAGTGTTACAGAAGATTCCCTTACATCCTGGAGCTGACGCAGTATCCGTAGGTTTTCACATGATGGATAGGTAAGTGTCATAGAGTTGAGGGGAAGCCTGAAAGCTGAAGTCTGGTTTTTATATTATGCCCGAAAGGCTCCAGACCCTTTGGCAAGAGATTTATAAGAACTACAGTGCTGCAGAAGACATTAATGAAAAAAATGGAATTGAAGCAAAAGACTGGAATAAGTCATAAAAGGTGTTTTTGTGTTCTTAACTTGCTGTTTTTCACATTACAGCTATGTATGCTCTACAAAAATAACTGATGCTGGGCGTCACCAATGTGACCAGAGGAGAGCAATTTAACTGCAAGCGCTGACCACGGCGCGCGGTCCTCAGCAGCGTTCCAGAACTCGTTAAAAAAACTGCTCTAAGCAGAGACTAAGATGGAGGAAAAACCTCAAACAAAGGTCATGGTGCATGTAAATTTTTTTACACATGTGGATATGCAAATAGCAGAGGAACCCAAAGCAGACGGGGAGAAATTTTTATTTCCTGTACGAGCCTGGCACAAGGGAGCCTGGAAAATCCGCTGCAGTTTCCCAGGGCTGGTGTGCTGGAAATGTGTGGGAAAGAGGAGCGGAGACCCCGCGGGCCCCTGTCCCCTCCTCCGAGGAAAGGCAGAGCCACGAACGGGGCCTCCAGCGCACGCAGCTCCTGCAGCGTCGGGCTCGGATCTTAGGCAAGATTCAGTGAATGAGACACAACTGTCTTTGTCCTCACAAACCCTTCGGAACAGGATAAAACAGTGGGAAGAACATGCACAATTATAACATGTGAAACCACTAACGTGCTTTTTCTTTTTTTTCCTCTCTGACTGTAGCTAAATAGAGATGAACACGGCTGTTTATTTTGGAAAGAAGAGTAGAGTGGAACGCAGCATGGCAGAGAGAAGGCAAGTTAGATATTGCTATTCTGACTAAAAGGACAAGCAATCTTTACAATACTTAAAGGTGTTGAGTTACTGTGACAAAATACTTTTAATGAGCTGGCCACAAAAATTAACGGCAAAGCAGAAATTCTGTTTAAGACACGTCTAATGTTTGTAATTGCAATACCTGAGCTATCCTTGAGATGGTGCAAACGACCCGCTGCTGGTGTCAGGAGCAGACCAGAAGCCAGAAAGTCTGAATTATAATTCTGCACTTTTTAGTTTTCAGAATTTGTTTTCATGTAATTGTTCAAAACACTTCTCTGAAAACTGGCAGCAACGAGCAGCCAGACTACCGATGCCCTCAGAATTAGCTATTCTTATCTTCCCCCTTCCCGATTTTCTCCTTTCTCTTTCAAAATCTGCCACATAACCTGACCTATGGTTTATCACCTTTTATAAACACACAGTAAAGCTGAGGACTGAAGAAATCCTGGGTGAAAGAAACCGCAGAGAACATGTGTCAGATGTTGAGTCAGGTCCTTCAAGGAACAGTAAGAAGGGGGTTACTTGTTTATTGAAGTAGAAAAACATCTTTTAAAGAAACCATCTTGACGTTTTCAAAGCCGAACTTATCTTTATTTCCCCATTAAAATAAAGTAAACGTCGAGTAATGAACATTATTCTTTACAGTCCTTTTGCTGTGGTAATATCCTAGTCCTTCATCTCCCGCTGTAACCCACAGACCCACCTGCAAACATGTAATTAGTGATTCCCTCAGAACTTCAGGCTCATTTATTGTCCCTTTCTCCACCAGGGCTCTGCTGTATGTAGCTGTAATGACAGGCGCCCCGGCTGCCCCAGGCTCCCTGCAGCCTCCTGCTCGTGACCGATCAGCACGTACAAATGTAGCCACCCACCTCTAGGAGGAGAACGGAGCTGCAGCCCTGGTGAAACATAAAGTTTATTTGGCCAAAGTGACGCAAAAATTCTTAAAGAGCTCTTTGGCAGCAGATTATCTGAAATCAGACCATGTGAGAGGGACTGGTGTACAAAAGCTCACCAAGATGCTGAGTTGCCCAGAGGCTGCGCTCCCGACGCTCAGACGGGACGCGGCGTTGGGATCCTTGAGCTTGGATAACTCCCGGCGCAGCGCTCCGAAGCCGCCCGCACCACAGGTACTGGGTGATTTTGTTTTTCGCGCACAGATATACGAAGTATTTTAGGATATTCAGGCAGCCTCCCGGAGGGTTGGCTCCGGAGCCCACCTTCGGAGCCGAGCCGACACCACGGCTTCATTAACTGCCCCTCTTGGCTACCTCACAGCTTGGGTGAGGAACTCTAAAATGCTGCTGACAGGCTAAAATGTATATAATACTTCTGCTTGTTTGCTTTTTAAAGTAACTCTTAAAGTCTTAGAGTAATTTAAAAAACTGAGAATGCACATCCAACATGACTTTGGGAAAAAATGCATTGACTTTTGGTGAAAGATTGCTCTGGTTTCTTTTAATATATGCTTTTGCTTGCTTTTCTGATGTTATATGCACTCCTCTGCCTTTTTCAGGCATGTGTCCAGCACTTACGGTATTAGGAGTTTTATGCCTGCAACAGAACATGTTATGACAATCCCAAATTAGAGTTTTGGCAGTCTGTCTAGTTGTATTGTGAACATAAAATATTGTGGGGGAAAAAAAAATAAACTACAATGAAAGAAAAACACAAGGAGGAAAACAATGCAAACTACTACTTATTTTAAAAGGATACAGTAAACTTTATCAAGCACATTGAATTATGTTTTAAAAGGCAGACTGTTCCAGCACAGTAAATTATCTAGCTCAATGGGACAGATTTATTATAAATAATGCTTAAGAGTGTGTCATGAATATATGCATATAGTCAATCATGTTTACTGCTGAAACCTACTGCTTTGCTGGGTTAGTTTGCTAAGTAATATGGAAGTTTAAGGGAGGAGTACACTGTAACTGAATATATAAATAGTCGTGGAAAACAAGTTTTGATATGTTAAGACAGCCTGGGGAAAGGATGGGGCGTTCATGGGGCTTGGATTCCTGTGGAATTTTTTAAATGTAGGTTGTTGGCTGTCAAGCATTTTATCAGGAATCCGTCTCATAAATGTGTGCTTTGTCTTTGGGTGTCTTTGATGAATGGATTGACCATAATCTTGGGGAGTACTTTATAAAATTGGCACATGGCAAATGACTGTTGTGGGTGCAATTTCTACTTGAACAGGGGGCAGATAGGTTTCAACAATTAACAAAAACTGCCCCCAAACTGGAAATTTAATAGTAATAATAATACAAATTATTCCCATACATGGAAACACGCAGCATATTTAATCTTTTTTCCTGCCTTCCATAAGGAAATGTTTAAGCTGCAAAGTTTTTGCTAGGAACAGCAAAATGCTGATTCTGTACCCTAGCGTTTTTTCTGAGGCTAATGCTTTAACTCTTCCAAAAATGTATTTGTGCAGCTCTGTAGCTCTGCCAATCTGAATTTTATACAATTAATACACCATCTATGCAATGAGTTTTTCATAAAATACCTAAATTTCATAAAATACCTAAGCAGAGCTTGGAACCTGAATAATGGGGTTGTAATTAGAGTTTCCTGTTAACAACTGTCTTCAAAGAAACAGCATCTGGGAACACCTGTGACTGCGTTTTACTTTCTTTAGGTAAAAACACTGCAAGGGTACATGTAAGTGCATGCATGCTGGCACACATATACAGCCAGCCCTTCACTTTTGGCTAAGCACACAGGTCTCTTGACAGACTGTGCATGTTAATTTGCCCGTGCAGAATCATATTAAGGAACAGGGCTCTATATATTTGGTGATAATTGCTCTATTATGACTCCTCCTTCCTTCAAATTTGACTCTTCTATCAAGTTTACATAAATAATTTGAGGAAGAAAACAAAATGAGTATCATTACTTCTAAGCTTATCTGTTTCCTTGCACTACTGTGCGGACATAAAATGTCTTTTCTTTCCCCTCTCTGTTGTGAAAGTGACTGTCATCAGTTTGGCAGCACACCCACTACAATACAGTGCTTCTTCTCAACAATTTTTATTGGTAAAATCTCTGTTTCTTGCCTACTGTGTAATTTCAGACTGAAACACGGACCAGATTGTGACATAAAATTCACAGTACAAGTTTTTATCTCCCTAATAATCATGTTTTAGAAGCACTATTTTTGCATTATGCGCATATTTAGCCTTATCTAGGGACACAGAGGTTAACTGAAGAAAGTTTATTGCTCTTGCCACCCGTACTTTGGTAAGTAGCTGCTTATTCTCCCAGAAGAGTCACTGTATTTCCATGGGACTGCTTGTTGAGTAGATCCCTACAGGAAAGGGATCCCCCACTGCCACAAGAGGTCACTAAAAAGCCTCCAAAAATAGGGACGGTGACGGACCCCACCACAGTAACGCTCCAAGGGACTCGCTTTGCTACACGCTAAGGGGCTGCTTTTGTGTGTCCAGGGACACGCGGGTGCTTCCACATCTAGAGCACCGGGTCCTGTTTGGTTCTGTGGGGGAGTAACCCCAAATTATCACTTAGTTCATACCGGCTTACGCGAGCGGCGTTGGAGGGTCGGCCTCGCTCCTGGGACACGTGCACCCAATTCCCCTCAGTGCCCTGCACTCGCGGAGCAAAGCAAAGGTCAGAAGTAAAGGAAGGCACAGCTATCTTTTCTTTTTTTTTCTTTTCTTTCCTTTTTTTTTCCCACTTTCTCTTTTCCTTTTCTTTTTCTTTGAAAGCTCATTCTATTGCTGATGAGGATGTGTTGATGTAACAGCAGCCTTTGCGACAGTTCAGAGCAACAGCCCAATAAACTAACATTCCTTACCTCATTCACTAATGCAACCATTGCTATATAGACATATACTGCTCCTATAAGCACAGAGAGATGAACACACTGAGATTAAGTGGAGGCTGCAGTGGGCAAAATCCTCCAGCACTTGCATAATTCTCCCTCGGGAGCTGAGCATATATCTCAGCCTTAGGCAGTTCTGCAGCTGTTTACACCACTTACAGCAGTTACAATTCCTTCAGATATCTGTTTTTTTTCCCCTCAATTATAACAAGAAGGGACAAGGAGGATGTTCCCCAGTGAGGTACCCTAAAACCTGCTATTTCCAGGACACTGAAATCCTGTGGTTCTGTAACCATGTTCACGTGCTGTCTGCATGTGCCAGCTCCGTGCACAAGCTGCAAGGTCTGTCCCTCCAGAGCAGTTTCCCCTACCAGCTTTCACCTGCAATTCTCTTTCCAAAGGAGTAGTACAAAGCCCAGCTGATCGCTGCGAAGTTTGCAAGTCATTTCACAGCTCTGAGCTTAAAACTACTGAAAATCATACAAAAATATTTTAAATGATTTGGTGTTTCCTTGCTCTGGTCTGCAGAAGACCAGAACACACGCGGAATTGGGTAAGACAGTGATCTTGATTGTCACACACAAGCAGGAAAGCAACAAAAAGCAATTGCTCCTCAGCACAGAACATGCCAAGAACTTGCTATGTGCAGAAATAGTGTTTTATAAATACATGAAACACTTGAGTCTCAGGTATGGAAAATTCAGTCTCACAAGATAATGCAGTTAAATCAACATACTTTACTGCTTTCTCATTTACGAGTCAGAGGTGTAAAGTCCAGAAGGGCTCAGGTTACTTTTCCACGTTTCAATTTTATATTTAATATACAAGGGGAGAAGGACTGGCTGTGGCCTTCCCTAGGATTTCTACGTTACCATCAGTGGCGGTGGGACGGTTTTCATCTATACAAGCTCTTTTGAGACTCCAAAGACACGGGGTTTTTATATTCCTGCAGGTAAAATGGAAACTATTGTTCTTTGCCATATTATCTGTTTTGTGGAACTCTGGAGATGTTTCGGTGGTTGTGGATGACTAACTGATAGGAACAGAGTACTGTTATCGTAGGAATTCAGCATTATAGATGCCACACGTGCTAGGTATGATGAAACGAATATTATGTGGGTAAATACAGCATGCAAGCCTGAAGAACTGCCAGATTTCTGGAGGTTTTAACACCTTCCACAGGCTGCTAGCCTGAGAACATCACTGGTTTGCTCTGGGCTTTGCAGCTTTCCTTCTCTTTCTGCTTGCACAGATCAATGTTTAGGAAAAGGTCTAACAAGGGCTGTGTGCCCAAAGCTGGGAGCAGGGAACAAATAGTATCCCCTCTTGCTATCATTTTTGCAACAGCTAAAACTGCAAGAATGCTTGTTCTTCTGGTCGGGATGTTGTAATGCTATTTACTGTGGTAAAAGTGCTTTTAAGAGGAGAAATGACATGTCATTATTGTCATTTAATACTCGGTGGCATCATGTGGATTGCGTAACACCTTGCAAGCTGTACGGAAAGCAAGGTTAATGTCCCAGGGGCTTTACAGCACAAAGCATCAGTTCCTATTTTAAGATCTCATTCAGTAAGGGCAGCCGGACAGCTACATTACCTCAGCAAAGAGCAGAAAACAGAATGCAACCAGCTAAATCACAGCCCTTTCTCTGTTGTGTTCTCAAGGAAGCACAAATTGCTTTATCTTTTTTGTGTTTTCCTGTTTTCTTTTTTTAATTGCTGAACAGTTTGTTTCTCCTGGATTGCTCTTCCAGCACATGTGAAGAAAGAAGGTAAAGCCAGGGATTGTCTTGTGTCTTTTTGCTTTGGTTTGGTTCGGTTTACAGGGGACAGAACATAGGATTCATGCCTTCTACCTTTCCCAAGTCTGGAACCATGAACAGGTTCTGTCCTAATTCTGTCCTAAATGGATCCATAAGCTATTTCTTACAGATTAAAAACAGTCAAATTGAAGTCTCAGGACTTGGTTTGTTTTTGCTATTAGTACTGAGCCTCAAAGTTAGTTGGTGCAAATGCAATGACACTTAAGTAGCTTTCTAAACCTTCACTTAAGCCTTGTATCTCTGTTGCTAAACATGGGAGGCACTGTGAGATTTCTGCAGATGATCATGAAATGTAATTTGGTATCTTTTGCCACCCAAGTATTCCTTTCAATAACACTTTTCCCTTAAAGGTGGGTAAATCTGGAGACCAGGGCTAGCAGACACAGGCTGATCTTATGAAAACTCAGGTCACAAACCAAACTCTGCCCTCCCTTGTGCGAAGCGGCAGCTCCCTGGCTGCGATGCCGTGTCCGGAGGGAGGCGAGCGCAGCACTGCGCACTGCCCAACCGTGCACAAAGTCCAGCAAATTTGGCTCCGCGCGCGTCGGCCACGTGCGCCGGCTGCTCGGCGGGAGGAAAGGCTGCCCCCTCCCTGCTGCTTTTCTTCGCAGGTCACTTGGTGTTGAGCTGTCTCCTGAATGATTCAGATTGCATGTTGCAGCAGCTGCTTATTTCCAAATGTGTTTTAATCCCATAATCCATGGTGGTTTTAACTAGAAAGTCACCAGCGTCAACAAGCCCTATGATGCATTTTAAAACTATTTTTTGACCTCTTAGATGGTGTACGTGCCTACAATCCAGTGGATTTAAATATGGAAGGGGAAATCTAAGAGCACCGCTAATAAAGTGTGGGGAAACAAGCCACGAGGGGACTCCGTTGCTGTCTGTCTGCAAGCGAGAAGGATAAATCTCTTGGAAAAATGGAAAAAAAGGCACCAAGTAATGAGACCCAGCCCCTGACTTCCAAGAAAGAGGTCTCAGACTGTAATGAAGGAGAAGACTGTAAAGAGAACGGACTCCCAGTCAGAAACCCTGCACCTGCTCTGCGGCTAACGGAGGATGGGAACAGAGTCCCCCCCAGCCAGGGGGATAAAGGGGAGGCAGCTCCGATCTCCAATGGTTATTCCGGGGTTCAGAGCTCCGTTCCCTGCAATGGAATGGGAGAGGTGGAAGACGCCCAGTGCACGGCCCCAGCAGCCACAACCACCACCACAACCACCACGTCCACCACGTGCGGAGCAGAAGGCCCCCAGCAGCTCATGGAGCTGGAAGACAGGGAGACCTGGAGTAAAAAAATTGACTTTCTGCTCTCTGTCATCGGGTATGCAGTGGATCTGGGAAATGTGTGGAGATTTCCTTATATATGCTATCAAAACGGAGGAGGTCAGTCACCCGTTCTATACGCTGTTCCTTAATACTGAACTTCTTGTTATAAATGCATGAGCTTAGCGGCTCATTTCAGTAACATAAATAACAGATGTTTATGAGAAAATTACTAATCTTTCAAGCAGACTGAAAAGCCTAAATACAGACACAGGATAACTAGAAGCTATTTAGCTAGATATAAAAATTAGTGCAAGTTGGTTAGGTGCAGAATAACCTTCCAAGGAGAGACTGAAACCTTGACATAAGGAATATTTAAAATCAAATTAACCAGTGTCAGAACACTTGGTAGGAATGCTCACTACATTTCAGCCATTATAAAATGTAACTGAGAGTTTCAGAAAGGAAAACTTTTCTCTCCATGATGTACATAGGCATTTTACTGAGGAAATCATTTTACATGTATCCTGTCTCCAATTTGTATCCAAGGGAGAAGCACAGAGTTTGTGAAACTTAGGCATGCTTGCTACAGGAATGTGAGAAATTTCACATCTTCCTTCTTATTCACAGAGTTAAATGGATCCTCAGATGAGAAACCCCATAGCAATTCAGCACGGCATGCTGACTGTGGAGGGCGTATGCATTTTCCCTGTGGAATAGAGAGAACTGCTGGTTATGGAGTGCTGACACCATGGGAAGAGAACTGCTATGGAAAGTTCTAATCTGCTTGCTTTCTTGCAGGAGCGTTCCTCATCCCTTACACAATTATGGCCATCTTTGGAGGTATTCCTCTCTTCTACATGGAGCTAGCGCTAGGACAGTACCACAGGAATGGGTGCATTTCCATTTGGAGAAAAATTTGTCCTATATTCAAAGGTAATGAAGGGAAATCTCTCTCTCAATTGCTATCCTACCAGGGAGTCTTTTGGAGTACAGGGACCTGTTCTATTTGCTTGTTATCCTTGTTCCCAGTGTTACAGCTCTGGTTTTGTCTTTTTTACTGAGGTGGGAGATTTGTATTCCTAAGTTCCACATTTTAGGAACAGATAAAAAACTATATAAGCATTTTCTGCCCTGAATAAGGTGCTCTTCTGCAATCTGAGTCTTTCTGAAGACACAAGAAATTCCAGTGTTGTAGACACTTTGGGGACACTTGATAGGGTATGTGCACCTTCTGCAGGGATGCCCGAGACAGCATGACGTGAATAACCATTTCCTTCTCTTTCTAGCCCTAAAAATTACACTCACTCTCATGTAACTATTTCCTACCTTACTAGGAATTGGCTTTGCCATCTGTATAATAGATCTTTATGTAGCCTCCTACTACAATACCATTATGGCTTGGGCCTTTTACTACCTCATCTCCTCCTTCACGTCGGAGCTGCCCTGGACCAGCTGCACAAATCCTTGGAATACAGGCAACTGCACTAGCTACTTGAGCAAGGACAATGTCAGCTGGGCCCCACACTCCATCTCTCCCGCAGAAGAATTTTATACGTAAGTGCATGTAAGTGGAGAGAGTAACACGAGACAGAATGGCAGGATATGTAGCAAGGTTTCCTCTGGAGGGGCAGAAGGGTATTTAGGAATGGTGCTCAAAACTATTCAAATAGCTACATGTAATAGCTGTATGTAAGTGTAGGAGTATGGGGGGGTTACTCTAATTTTCCATTTTAGATCAGGGATCCAATATTTTCTGTCCATTATCAACTCTCACCATTTATCATTATTAGTATACCATTAATATAAAGCTTTTAATTAAAAAAAAATCAAAAATAATATAGCTCTGAAGACTGTTTACAAGGCTTCAGGTATATTAGTAATGCTCAGACCACAGTTTGGGAATGACTGCTCAAAGAATACTTAACACGAGTATTTGTTACAAAAATATCTATATTGTGCTTTTCTTTCCTCTTTCAGCCGCCGAGTTCTACAGGTGCACAGGTCCCATGGGCTGGATGACCTGGGGGGCATTAGCTGGCAATTGACCCTCTGTTTATTGTTAATCTTCACCATTGTATACTTCAGCATCTGGAAAGGGGTCAAAACATCTGGCAAGGTGAATGCAAGAGGAATCACTTGGTATAGTACAGTTTTGCAGCAGTTCTGAAGGAGCCGATTAACACGGCAGAAAGTTATCCTAGAGTGTCTGCAGGGCAGGGATTGCATCTTCTTGGATTTGGGAAGCACTTAGCACAGAGTGACTGCTATTGTTATCTAAATATTATGTAACAACAAGTTATGCCACTGTTCTATAGCGGCAACAACCCTGCCCAGATACAGCTTGGTTATACACACATCAACTGCTCGTTTACAGCTGCTGTAAATGCTAAGGATTACGATTTGTTTAACGCATTATTCTTGTTAACTGTTAGTTTTCTACCCGCAGCAAATGTGATCTCACTCGGTGTGTCCCTCCCAGGTGGTGTGGGTGACCGCCACGTTCCCCTATGTCGTCCTCTTCATCCTGCTGGTGAGGGGCGCAACCCTGCCCGGTGCCTGGAGAGGTGTCCTCTACTACCTGAAACCCGACTGGCAGAAACTGCTGGCCACCGAGGTAAAAACAGGCAAACAAACAACACACAACACTACAAAAGGGAAGAGATTCACTTTTCACACACACATATATATATATGTGTATAACAGCACATATATCTCCATATCTATTTGCAGGATAGAGCATGAATAAACAGGTATCTTAGCAAAGACTAACTTAATGCTCCCATTTAAACAGTTTAACATTTAAACCACGCTGCAACACAACCTTTCATCTATGCTACTCACACAGGGCAAACTGAGTTTACGACCGTCTAACAACTGCATTAGCAGCAGTCTGGCTGTGAGAGGATCTTCACGCACTCGGTGGCTTCTCCCACACGCTGGTGCCCACGGGCAGGCAGTGAGGGAACATCTTGCCTGCAGTGCAGGTTACCAGAGCCCAAACGGAGATGTCCATCTTGTGCCCAACATTGGCAGATAAACCCTGAAAAAGCCTCTAGCAGCAGCCGATGCCTGACTCAAATAATGAGTGGACACGTGCAAATGTGTGTGCAGAAGGAATGAATGAGTCAGGCTTGCATATACCCCCGAGATCTGCAAAGAGGAGTCAGGAGAAGACTCAGCTAACCAAAAATGCAAAACATTTCAGCTACCTGCTTTAGGTATGAACAGTGTGGACGACAAGCAGTGGATCAAGCTCAAGGCTGCGTTTACTTCACTGCATAAAAAAGACTGTAGAGGGAAGGATAACAGAAAAAGCCCAAAGCAATAAATACTACAAATAAGATTAAAAATTATAATGTTTGCAAGTCTGCTGCTGCCCAGCTGATATGGAGAGTTTTGAATGAAGAGGAAATGAAAAGACACCAGTCTCTGATAAAGCAGCATCTCCAGCAGGGACCACATCTTCTGAAAAAGCAATAAAGGGCATTGATATTGTATTGGATGTATCTGAAGTGAGGACAGCAGATTGCAATCTGTGTGCTGGACGATGACAGGGCTCTATCTGTGGATGGTACAGGATGGCCTCACACGACAAATGAGAATATTAGAAGCGAGCTGCAGTGAACTCCATGTTTCAATCAAAGGAGGATGAACAAATGAGGACTTTCACCTTCAGAAAGAACTGATATTAGTACTTCAGAAGCACTACTCATTAAAGCTATGGCCACTTTTCAAGTGCAACAGGATTTTCATAACAAGATCATCACACTTGCATCTGTCAAGGCTCCACCAGTGTTGAACTGAGTCCTCAGAACTCCATCCATACTCTGAAATATATTTTTGTAAGTCCAAGGGAAAACTGGGCAGCAAACAATTACTGCCTGGCCTGGCCAACACGTCCACACGGGCGAGCACCGGACTATTGTGCAGGACAGAGTTTGCAGGAAGAAAGATGGGACAAACCCATTGCAAAATCATGGTCAGGAAGCTCCCTACATATTGCAAAAGCTGTAACCTCAGTACAGGCAAATCACTGTGAATTAATGCAAGACGCTGTCGGAAGCGACGCTGTCACTGAGTATCTGCAATGCCGCATAGGAAGAAATGATACTGCATTTCTCTATGGTGAAATTCTGTTGAGACCAAGGCTAATTACATCAGCAGTGAAAAAAGCACAGCAAAGACCCTACAAGTATAGTGGATATTTAGACCTCTCACAAATCTACAAAAAAAAACCCCACATTTCAACACACCTTCCTAATAAAATGGTTTAGACCAAGACTAGGATACAGGCAGACTAGTGAAATAGTTTTGTAGACCCAATGATGCTCTGAATCTGCCAAGCTCTTTCAGTCTGTTTAATGCATTTTTGTTTTCTGATCTTTATTTTTCAGGTTTGGGTGGATGCAGCAGCTCAGATCTTTTTCTCCCTTGGACCAGGTTTTGGGGTCCTGTTGGCTTATGCCAGCTACAACAAATTCCATAACAACTGCTATCAGTGAGTTCTACCTTATTCTAAAAGTAAAACTGAGTTACTAAAATGTAAGTGTGGGTATTTATGAAAAAAGGACATTTATGAAGGACATAAGGCTGTTGTATCTATATACATATAAATCAAAGTGTAATGGAACAAAAGTTTGTTCAAGGAATCTGCAATCCGAAACATTCTCCTCTGTTGGGTCTACCCTGAATGATCATCTCTGCCAACCACAGCAATGAGAGTAAACTGCAAAAACTTATGAAAATAGACTACTCCACTGCCAAATGATCAAATTATTTCATCTCTGCAGTCAGTTAGGGTATGACTTTAGAGTCTTGAGTTGAGATATAATTTTCACTTATTCCTCATTTTCTTAAGGATCCTCTTCTAAGTAACAAGAAAAAATAGTTTTCTTCATTCATGCTGCTCCTTCCTTTCCCTGCACGCCTCTGGTTTCTGCAGGAGTCGGTTCAGCTCGCTAACCCAATCCATCCGTTCGTGAGCCCTCCTCTCCTGCAGGTGCCGAGGCCCTGGCATGAGTTAGGTCTTCTGTTGCAGAGATGCCCTGGTTACCAGCACCGTGAACTGCCTGACCAGTTTTGTGTCTGGATTTGTCATCTTCACTGTGCTCGGGTACATGGCGGAGATGAGGAACGAGGATGTATCCGAGGTTGCCAAAGACACCGGTGGGCTCCTTTCTTGTATCTTTGTGTGTTTTGGTTTGGGCTGAGGCAGGCCTTTGCTTTCTAACTATGGAGTTATTAAAAAGCCAGGGCTGGGATAGCTAATCTCAGGTCGTGCAAGTGGACCAAATTACGCAAAATATTTGATATATAATTCAAAATATGGCAGTGTTTTACAGCAAAGGCACTGGTATAAATATACAGTACACCTAAAAATCATTCTATAGGGACAGGATACTGCATCCAACTTAGCGAACCTGCTTGTACCTGCACACTGTAGAGCAGCCTAGGGGAAGCAGCTTTCCACTGGGACAACACGGGCAGTGAAACAGTCTGTCTTGTTCACAACACAACGGGGCTAACAGCTGTCTCCAATTCTCCGTTTCAAAATCAGGACCCAGTCTTCTCTTCATTACTTACGCCGAGGCCATTGCAAACATGCCTGCTTCAACCTTCTTTGCCATCATATTCTTCCTGATGTTGCTCACGCTGGGATTAGACAGCACGGTGAGTACAGCGTATCTGGGCGAGCTGGATGAGCAGCACTGGGTGTAAGGCCGTATCCCAGCAAACATCAGAAGAAACAGAATAAAAAAATACCGTGCTGTCATTACAGGGTGTTAAAGCAGAACAGAACATTAATCTCCGTACACCTTTTGTGAGATAGGAACTCTTACTCCAATTTCAAAGTTGGAGAAGCCTAAATAAAATTAAGTGATTTGTCACAGTCACAGTGTGACAACCTGTAGCAAACCTGGGAACACAGCACAGAGCACTCGATTCATAATCTACTGGTTGAATGCAGCCTTCCGGGTTCCTTCTGTCTTGTCATTGTGAACTTGTAAATTAATTACTACATTCTGAATGATTTTTCACAGTAATTAGATGTAAAAGATAGAAACTGGAGGGGGCCTTCTCAGCAGCATTCCAAAAAGATATGCTAAAAAACTTTGCCATGTGGGGCTGTTCTGACATGCCTCACATTGGGAGTCTGTTCCTTGCAGGATGGCTGAACTCAGCCGATGGCACATCGTGGTTTTACTGAGTCATCTACTGCTTATCATAATCCTAGTATTTGTGATAGAGTACTTCCCAAATGATAAGCACTTCCCATAAAAGTGCCTTGAAGAACTAAAAAACTCAGAAATACGAACAGCCAGCCCAGCTCCATAGGCAGAATAAAGTGCCAGTGTTTTCAGTGCTCCGAAGTTCCTTCTCCTATTAAGACTCCTCTATTTTCCATTGATTTTTCCATGCTTTTCAGTTTGCAGGACTAGAAGGAGTGATTACTGGAGTACTCGATGAATTCCCACATGTTTGGAGCAAACGCAGAGAATTGTTTGTCCTTGGATTGACCATCGTTTGCTTTCTGGGGTCATTAGCAACCCTGACATTTGTAAGTATTTTACCCACTCGTCAGCTTCACTTACTAGCAGTTTCCTGCAAATTACATAGTGGGGATAATATATTTGTTGAGTAGTATTTCAAAAAGTCAGACTAAATCTCCAGGCTGTTTTCTTTATGCATTAAAAGCTGTATTTGGAATGAGTGCAAGCAGTACTCCTCACTGGGAAATGTGTTGCAAAACGACTGTGTTGCAATTCAGCAAAATGCTGATGTGCTGCACATCGTAAATGACTCAAGCCCTGTTCAAACTACTAAGCCCTTAAGCAGGCAACCCTCTGAATTTCAGGCAGGGGTTACGTCTCTTTCTCCAAAGCGGTTTTCAGATTTTTTCAATGTGTCATTTTCGCTTTCCCTGTGTTTGAACACAATCCAAGTTAAAAAAAGAATTGGCTAAAATTATCTGCTAGAAATGGCTGGGGTGTTCTCTGGAAATTTCTAGCAATTAATTTCCTGCATCTTCCTCACCAAAGTGGGCCAGAAGGCATTGGTCAGTCACACCTGAATAAGCCCTTCCATCACTTGTGGGATTTCATTTTCATAACAAACAGAATTTGGAATTGAGCGCTGAATGATCATAAGGGACATGGAAAAAAATATCACTTTACTATCACATTTCACATTCTATTACTCGTTTATGCACAACTCCCTCATTTAAACTCTCTCTTTTAAAGCATTTATCGTAACAGGAGGCCTAGTTCCCCTCTGAGACCCAACACTCTTCTCCTTAGCCCATTCTAGATCCCAAGTAAAACCCTCCTGGTTTTCCGTTCAGCACAACGGCTCAGGTTGGAGAGAGAAGGTGCCATTGCGGAAGGCTTGCAAAAAGCAGAGATCCCACCACTCTCCTCCGCTCGCCAAAACCCAACCAGAACTGCCAGCAGATTCGGATTCAGCCTTTCTGCGTGGCAGAAATACGTTTGCAGGGAGGGAGGGAGCACCCATGGATCAGCGGCGCTCTCAAGTCCAGGCAGAAACTGTACAAAAATCCAGTTTTTTGTACAGCGCTGGGCGCTCTGCCTTGCTGAGATTTGATTTCCTTCCCAGGGAGGCGCGTACGTGGTGAAGCTGTTTGAGGAATACGCCACCGGGCCCGCTGTCCTCACCGTGGTGTTCCTGGAGGCCGTGGCGGTGGCCTGGTTCTACGGTGAGTGACAGCCAAAAGTAACCAGAGGCCTCATTTGGAATAATGAAGGATTTAATGTCATTAAGAGATATAGGAACAAAACAGCAGTTCACTCTGCATTCTAGATTTATTTGCTGTGCCTTATTTACCTACTTATGAACATCTTCTCTGCTGTGCCCACAGGCATCACCCAGTTCTGCAGCGATGTCAAAGAAATGCTGGGCTTTGCCCCTGGCTGGTACTGGCGGGTTTGCTGGGTAGCCATCAGCCCCATCTTCCTTTTGGTGAGTTTGCTCTACTGCCCTTTTTTATTTTTTTTTTCCCAGCACAACAAAAAGGACTGTTGGACAACGCAGTTCCTAAACATTTTAGTACAAAAATTGTTTGTGAGGTTAAGCCAAAAATGGTCAATTGGTGAGAAATCCAATAAAATGCTGGTAGGTCTAGTTACCAAGGCAGGATTTTAAGTTTTTTTTTTTTGTAGATAAACTAGATAAACAAGAACAGGTTCTCAGCAATCCCCTCACTGAACAAAGCAACTTTACTTTGTTACTTTATATTTACTTCAACAAAATGAACCAATAATGATGATGAAACGCACTGTCAAGGGAAGAAAACTAAGATAATAATTAAATATTTACTGTCCCAATAACTGCTGACTGACAACTTTGGAATATCCCACTTAAAATTTACAGCAGGTAATGGCAACCTTTATAAATCTCTAATTGAGAATTGGAAATACTGTCCCCATGCTTGACTTGGCAGTATTATTGATAACATTTTAACACAAAGTGTTCATTTCCTGATCCCAAATTAGCTCCTACTATCTTTTATTGTCACCAGCCTTCATTGAGAGCACAGCAGGTCAAGATGCAGTTTATAACGCTCAGAATATAGACCTAACGCCTACAGACTGGATTCAAAACACTGTTGTAATGATTAATGTGTTTAACTGATTTTATTACCCATCAAAAAAGGGCTATAAATAGATGTGTGCCACCACAAATAATTTTTATACTGCTGTCATCTTTGTGATCCTAAAACAATAAAACAGAGAGGAATACAATGATGAGGTTACTAGGCACAGTTATTTGTATTCTCAGTGGAAACTAAACTAAAATAAGGAAAACCCGTAGCTAATAATGTTATTTCTCTACGGAGTTTTGCTGGTAATCTGCTGTTTTGATGATACCCTGGGAAAATGGAGTTGGAGCTCATTCCAAGAGTGGTCACAAATATTATTTGTGTAATATTCAACTAAAAAGTTATGCTTTATGCAGAATTTCTAAGTCATAAAGGATATGCAGGATGAAGAGAATGAATCAAATTCTGAGGAAGACTGAACCACATTATTTTTTTTCCTGGGAACACACAAGACCAGGAAAAAACAGACATGTTTTATAGGAACCCTGAAACAGCACGATTTCATTCAAGCGGGACAAAGCTGAAATTGCACAAAAGTAAAGAAAATTATCTAATAGCATTAATCTAGCCAACACCAGAATATTGTATCCAAAGTAGGGCTAACATTTGCAAAGGCTTCCAAGAAACTGAAACACAATAGGAAAATAGCACAGAAATAATAGAGAGTTTGGAGAAAATATGTAACAGTGATAAAAGTGGAATCTATGCAGCTTATCACAAAGAAAATTGAAAGCTGACGTGATTGACGAGTGTTAAATACTTGGACAGTATTTGAAGAGTCTTCAGCCCAGTAAAAAACAGCATAAATCAAAATAAAATAAAATAACAAAGATCAGTGGCTACAAGTTAAATTCAGACAAACGGAAATTCACCATCTTAATAAACACTGAACAATCAGCTAAAGAAAATGATGCCTTTCTGGAGGAAATGCCTTAGTTGGAATCAAGTCACAGGGCTCAACTGGATAAAATTCTACATACTGATCTTGATTCATCTTATTTTGTCCACCTAACCTTCTTTTTTTCCTTTAAGTAAAAGAGTTTGATCCTGCTCCTTCTTTTTAATGTGCCTTAGACAAGAACCATCAGCATATTTATTTATGGAATATACAGTCCATACAGGAATTTTTGCTTTGTTCCTTTCAGTAACTTGTTGGGTTATATGCTGAAGCTCAATGCTATATTGGGGCAGAGGGTTCCCTAAAATAACAGTATATGCCATCAAGATACATGTATTTATGTTTTATTTTTTTCCCCTCCCAGTTTGTCACCTGCAGCTTTCTGTCCAATCCTCCTGAGCTCCGTCTTTTTGATTATAATTATCCCTATTGGACCACAGTAGTGGGTTACTGCATAGGAACCTCCTCTGTCATCTGCATTCCAATCTACATGGTTTATCGACTGATCATCACTCCGGGAACACTTAAGGAGGTACCTGATATGCTCTATTATCTGCCTGGTAGGAAGAGGATGAGTCCTACAAACATCATTTGTGGCTCTTTCCAGGGCCCAAGGCCTTGGGACCTGAGGGTTATTGCCACTTTGCTCCTGGTCAGTTGACATCTCACTGAGCAACACAGCAATAGGCCAGGCCTTGGCAGGGCCATTCACATTTTCACACCAAATACGAAACCAGGTGATTTTTTAAGATCTGGGAGCTTTCTTTAGAGATCACACACAAAACAATCAACTAAATATTCCAGGTGTGCTTACCAGAACAAATTTGTTTTTTCTCTTCCACATTTACTAAGTTTCTCTGTCATAAGTCTATAGTAGCCTTTGATGACATTTTGGGAGTTTTTCTAAGTTTTATGTAACTATCTCAGAGAGAATATATTCAAGTGGTTTAGGGAATTCAAGTAAGCTACTAAGTCCTAAATATTAATACAAAATCTGTCTAGCATGGATCCCAAAGTATCTGTTAAAAATAATTAAGAAATAACACTGTTCTACAGCACTTTGTTTTGATAGCACTTAGATAACATGAGCCTGAAACATCTTTGTGTGGTAGTTCAAGAGGTATAACTCGAGAGTCATATTTTTATCGTAAATCCCATCAACGAGCTGTTATGTTATATATTACTTATAAAATTAATCATTTTCTAATGTTGATCTCTTTCTGACAGCGTATTCTGAAAAGCATTACTCCAGAAACAGCCACAGAAATTCCATTTGGAGACATCCGCATGAATGCAGTTTAAGTTAACCTATTTTCTGCGGGAGAGGGAGAGGATAAAATTTACCTTTCCCCATGCTCTCTGCTCCAAAGAATTATGTTTCCAGCTGAGACAATTGGAGTTTTTCATGGAGGCTGCCACTGACAACAGGCACTAGGAAACACGATGCCTCCAGCACGTACATCCAAGCAATTCAACCAAATCTGCTGCGCACTTCTAAATAGACTGTATTCACGGAAGAACTTCCTTATTCCAAAACCATGAGGATGTCTGTAGGCATGAGAATACCCTGATTCCATGCATGGCCCCCAGGGCTGCTGGCAAGTGTGTGTGACTGCATAAGGCGCTCTAGGATGAGTCTCAGCAGGTGGGATTAGGTTTAGAGCTGCAGCCCGTGGCAGCACTCCCGTATCTCCCGCACTGTGATCATCTGTACTGGGCCATGTCGTATTTGCTTCTGAGGTTCTAACTGCTTAAACTACACGGAAAAATACAAAAATATTTCTGATAGCCATACGTATCCAAGTAAGGCAGGGTTTTATAAATGACAAATAAAATTAGTAAGTCCGTTGATCCCTTGGCTTGTTGTGGAGTGGGCAGAGGAAGGTGTCTTGTAAGAAACAATCCTGAACAGCACTATGTACATCTCTGTACAGCAGCAAACCCACTTGGTAACATTATCCTCCTTCTCATTTCCTGCACTTTGTAGATGATAACAGTTTCTGCTAGTTGTTTTTGCATATCTAACACTACCAAAAAAAACCCACCATTTTTTGCACTGTAGGCTTTGAACTATTAAATCCTTTTCACTTTCCTTCAGACCAAATCAAGCAAAAACCTATCACAGGGAAAAGCATTTGTTATTGTTAGCGATTACTATAGTGTTTGCATAACTAAGCTAGATATTCACAATGTCATTGTACTGACAGACTTAATATTTATTCCCAAAGAAACAATTATTTTGAGTTCAGATGCCAAAAAGTAGACTCTCAAAGCTGTTTTTTTTTGTTTTGTTTTGTTTGCTGTTGCTTTTAAATTAAATTTCAGAGCTAAAATTTGCTAGAGCCTGTGACTTTTTCTGTTGTTTCCCTGTGCAAAACTGAAGCTTAGAGTAATCCTTTTGGTTGGCTGAGAAAACTACTTTCAACTCCACAAACTTGCTTTGAAGATTTACTAGCATATTGTAAAGTGAACACATTTGGTTTTCATGCTGAAGAAGAA